AGCCGCTGCCGGAGGGTGGGCAGCAGGAGGTCGATGGGGCCGGCGGGGAGGGCGGCCTGAGCCTTCCTGGTGGCCAGCCAGAGCAGACAGACTCCATTGTCCTGCCGAGGAGGAGCATCCAGTGTCCTCCCACGGGCTCCGTAGGGTATGGCCATGTCCTCTTCCCTGGACCAGCCCCTCCCCTGAGGCCTGGTTTTCCAAAACTTCTGGGGATAGGGACGTGGCCTCCGAGACCCAGTTGTGCTGACATTCGGAGGTCTCCAAAGTGCCGCCATGTTGAGCACCATTGACTCCACTGTGCCCCTCTGAACTGCCAACTGGGGCTTTCCTGGTGGTTGGTCCCCATGAGGAAGGGGGGCTAAGGAGAGAGTGTGACCTTGTCCAAGGTCATGTGCCACCTCAGGACCATGTGACACCTTAAGGCTCAGTCCTGTGCCCTCCACTATCTACCTGGGTGGGTCTCAGTCCCCCAGGACTGGTGTCATGGTGGTGACAGTGGTGACTGATGGTGGTTGTGTGGTGATGATCATGTGATGACATGGTTTTGATGGTGGAGACAGTGATGGTGGTGGTGGTGATGACAGTGGTGATAATGGTGAGGGGGTGGTGATACTGATGGTGGTGGTGATGGTGAACATAGTGGCAGGGGGGATGGTGGTGGTGATGACGGTGATAGTGTTGATGGTGATCTAGTGGTGATGGTGATAGTGGGGATGGTGATGGTGGTGATAGTGATCATAGTGGCAGTGGTGATGGTGGTGATTCTGTGGTGACAGTGATGTGGTGGTGGTGATGTGATTTTGGTAGTAGTAGTGGTGATTATTATGATGGTGGTGATGATGGTGATAGTGCTAGTGGTGATGGGGTGAGATCCTGATGATGGTGGTGACACTGATGATGGTGACAGTGTTGGTGATGATGGTGTTGGTGGTGATGGTGATAGTGACAATGGAGGTGGTGATAGTGATGGTGGTGGTGAGAGCGATGATGGCAGTAGTGGTGGTGGTAGTGGTGATGGTGGTGGTGGAGGTGATGGTGATATTGATGATTATGGTGGTGATGGTGTTATTCGTTGAGGATGGTGATTAAGAGTGATGCTGGCAGTAGTGGTGGGGGTGATGGTGGCAGTAGTGATGGTAATGGCAATGGTGGTATTTGTGGTGATAATGGTGATGGAGGGGAAAGTGATGCTGGCAGTAGTGGTGGGGGTGATGGTGATAGTGATGGTGATGGTGGTGATGATGGTGATAGAGCTAGTGGTGATGGGGTGAGATCCTGATGATGGTGGTGATGGTGTTATTCGATGAGGATGGTGATTAAGAGTGATGCTGGCAGTAGTGGTGGGGGTGATGGTGATAGTGATGGTGATGGTGGTGATGATGGTGATAGAGCTAGTGGTGATGGGGTGAGATCCTGATGATGGTGGTGATGGTGTTATTCGATGAGGATGGTGATTAAGAGTGATGCTGGCAGTAGTGGTGGGGGTGATGGTGATAGTGATGGTGATGGTGGTGATGATGGTGATAGAGCTAGTGGTGATGGGGTGAGATCCTGATGATGGTGGTGATGGTGTTATTCGATGAGGATGGTGATTAAGAGTGATGCTGGCAGTAGTGGTGGGGGTGATGGTGATAGTGATGGTGATGGTGGTGATGATGGTGATAGAGCTAGTGGTGATGGGGTGAGATCCTGATGATGGTGGTGATGGTGTTATTCGATGAGGATGGTGATTAAGAGTGATGCTGGCAGTAGTGGTGGGGGTGATGGTGATAGTGATGGTGATGGTGGTGATGATGGTGATAGAGCTAGTGGTGATGGGGTGAGATCCTGATGATGGTGGTGATGGTGTTATTCGATGAGGATGGTGATTAAGAGTGATGCTGGCAGTAGTGGTGGGGGTGATGGTGATAGTGATGGTGATGGTGGTGATGATGGTGATAGAGCTAGTGGTGATGGGGTGAGATCCTGATGATGGTGGTGATGGTGTTATTCGATGAGGATGGTGATTAAGAGTGATGCTGGCAGTAGTGGTGGGGGTGATGGTGATAGTGATGGTGATGGTGGTGATGATGGTGATAGAGCTAGTGGTGATGGGGTGAGATCCTGATGATGGTGGTGATGGTGTTATTCGATGAGGATGGTGATTAAGAGTGATGCTGGCAGTAGTGGTGGGGGTGATGGTGATAGTGATGGTGATGGTGGTGATGATGGTGATAGAGCTAGTGGTGATGGGGTGAGATCCTGATGATGGTGGTGATGGTGTTATTCGATGAGGATGGTGATTAAGAGTGATGCTGGCAGTAGTGGTGGGGGTGATGGTGATAGTGATGGTGATGGTGGTGATGATGGTGATAGAGCTAGTGGTGATGGGGTGAGATCCTGATGATGGTGGTGATGGTGTTATTCGATGAGGATGGTGATTAAGAGTGATGCTGGCAGTAGTGGTGGGGGTGATGGTGATAGTGATGGTGATGGTGGTGATGATGGTGATAGAGCTAGTGGTGATGGGGTGAGATCCTGATGATGGTGGTGATGGTGTTATTCGATGAGGATGGTGATTAAGAGTGATGCTGGCAGTAGTGGTGGGGGTGATGGTGATAGTGATGGTGATGGTGGTGATGATGGTGATAGAGCTAGTGGTGATGGGGTGAGATCCTGATGATGGTGGTGATGGTGTTATTCGATGAGGATGGTGATTAAGAGTGATGCTGGCAGTAGTGGTGGGGGTGATGGTGATAGTGATGGTGATGGTGGTGATGATGGTGATAGAGCTAGTGGTGATGGGGTGAGATCCTGATGATGGTGGTGATGGTGTTATTCGATGAGGATGGTGATTAAGAGTGATGCTGGCAGTAGTGGTGGGGGTGATGGTGATAGTGATGGTGATGGTGGTGATGATGGTGATAGAGCTAGTGGTGATGGGGTGAGATCCTGATGATGGTGGTGATGGTGTTATTCGATGAGGATGGTGATTAAGAGTGATGCTGGCAGTAGTGGTGGGGGTGATGGTGATAGTGATGGTGATGGTGGTGATGATGGTGATAGAGCTAGTGGTGATGGGGTGAGATCCTGATGATGGTGGTGATGGTGTTATTCGATGAGGATGGTGATTAAGAGTGATGCTGGCAGTAGTGGTGGGGGTGATGGTGATAGTGATGGTGATGGTGGTGATGATGGTGATAGAGCTAGTGGTGATGGGGTGAGATCCTGATGATGGTGGTGATGGTGTTATTCGATGAGGATGGTGATTAAGAGTGATGCTGGCAGTAGTGGTGGGGGTGATGGTGATAGTGATGGTGATGGTGGTGATGATGGTGATAGAGCTAGTGGTGATGGGGTGAGATCCTGATGATGGTGGTGATGGTGTTATTCGATGAGGATGGTGATTAAGAGTGATGCTGGCAGTAGTGGTGGGGGTGATGGTGATAGTGATGGTGATGGTGGTGATGATGGTGATAGAGCTAGTGGTGATGGGGTGAGATCCTGATGATGGTGGTGATGGTGTTATTCGATGAGGATGGTGATTAAGAGTGATGCTGGCAGTAGTGGTGGGGGTGATGGTGATAGTGATGGTGATGGTGGTGATGATGGTGATAGAGCTAGTGGTGATGGGGTGAGATCCTGATGATGGTGGTGATGGTGTTATTCGATGAGGATGGTGATTAAGAGTGATGCTGGCAGTAGTGGTGGGGGTGATGGTGATAGTGATGGTGATGGTGGTGATGATGGTGATAGAGCTAGTGGTGATGGGGTGAGATCCTGATGATGGTGGTGATGGTGTTATTCGATGAGGATGGTGATTAAGAGTGATGCTGGCAGTAGTGGTGGGGGTGATGGTGATAGTGATGGTGATGGTGGTGATGATGGTGATAGAGCTAGTGGTGATGGGGTGAGATCCTGATGATGGTGGTGATGGTGTTATTCGATGAGGATGGTGATTAAGAGTGATGCTGGCAGTAGTGGTGGGGGTGATGGTGATAGTGATGGTGATGGTGGTGATGATGGTGATAGAGCTAGTGGTGATGGGGTGAGATCCTGATGATGGTGGTGATGGTGTTATTCGATGAGGATGGTGATTAAGAGTGATGCTGGCAGTAGTGGTGGGGGTGATGGTGATAGTGATGGTGATGGTGGTGATGATGGTGATAGAGCTAGTGGTGATGGGGTGAGATCCTGATGATGGTGGTGATGGTGTTATTCGATGAGGATGGTGATTAAGAGTGATGCTGGCAGTAGTGGTGGGGGTGATGGTGGCAGTGATGGAGGGAGTGACTGCAGAGGCAGGTGAGGCCCTGGTCTTGCCCAGACCACACAACCTCAGTCCTCACAGACGAGGCCCTGTGCAGTGCCGACCTCAGGGCCCTCCCTCTCCCACAGGTACATCCGCTCGGAGCGGTCCGTCATCCTCATCAACTTCTGCTTGTCCATCATCTCCTCCAACGCACTCATCCTCATCGGGCAGACCCAGACCCGCAACAAGGTATGCCCCCTTGCACCCAGCCCTCGCAGTCTCAGCATCCTTAGGGGTGAGGGTGGACCCCAGCAGTGGGTTCCCAGGAAGCTCAGTCCTGAGGTGTGGAGCAAGAGGATGCCCTGAGCCATCCTGGCTGCAGCAGCCCACAGGGGACTAGTCCGCTGAGGGGCAGCTTGTGTCCCAGAGTTTCTGGCTGGATTCCCCTCTGAGACCAGCATCCGCCCAGCTCTCCAGCAGGGCTGGGACCCAGACTGCCCTCGCTGCCTCAGGTGGGCGGCAGCGCCCTGAGGCAGTGTGGCTCTCCCGTGACAGAGCCGTTTGCCAGCCTTGAACCTGCCAGGCCAGGGCTCAGCCCTCGGCTTGCTCTAGGACCCCCATCCCTGCTCCCCACCCGTGGTCCCCATGCCTGTCCCACGCCTTTGGGACTGGCTGTGTGTCCGTGAGTGTAGTGTGCCCTCTCTGGGCTTGAGCCCAGGCTAGGAGTGTGCTGGGCCAACAGAATGGGAGGCTGAGATGGTCGGGTGGGGGGAGTCTGTCCCTGGCCGTCTAGATGGGGTCACACAAGCACCCACCAGGGCCTGAGACTGCAGCAGCCCATCTGGGACAGGGACCAGTGGCCCCTGGCTGCCGCTGCCCGAGGTCCTGGCCAGGAGCCCACCTGCCCACCGCCCCTGCAGGTGGTGTGCACACTGGTGGCTGCCTTCCTGCACTTCTTCTTCCTGTCCTCCTTCTGCTGGGTGCTCACCGAGGCCTGGCAGTCCTACATGGCCGTGACGGGCCGCCTCCGAAACCGCCTCATCCGCAAGCGCTTCCTCTGCCTGGGCTGGGGTGAGCTGTCTCCGTGCCCAGGCCCAGCAGGGCCCACCCGCTGCCCTGGTCTGGCTACCGGGCCTGCCCCTCACAGCCCTGCTCCCCTCGGGCTCTGGGAGGGTGGGTACGGCCTGAGTGGGGTCGGCCCGAGAAGGGGGAGGACAACCTTATTAGGAGGGAGGACAGCCCGAGTAGGAAGAGGACGGCCCGAGTAGGGGGAGGACGGCCCGAGTAGGGGGAGGTCGGCCCGAGTAGGGGGAGGTCGGCCCGAGTAGGGGGAGGACAATCTGAAAAGGAGAGAGGACAGTCTGAGGAGGACAGCCTGACAGCGCTGGAGACCACTGTCCTCAGAACCGACTCCTTGTTATCTGAGAGGCGTTTGGAACCTACCACCTCCCGTCAGGGCCGCAGGCCCTGGCTGCTGTGCCCCTCCTGCACAGCTCCTCCCCACACAGCGGCACCTGCTCTGCCCAGCAGGGGCGGGGCGGAGGGCGACGTCTCTCCTTCTGTCCTCTTCCAGGGCTCCCTGCATTGGTCGTGGCCATATCTGTGGGATTCACCAAGGCCAAGGGTTACAGCACCGTGAACTAGTGAGTCAGGGGCGGGCATGGGGTCCCCGAGGGCTGCCACCAAGGTGGGAGGGCCACGCTCTCTGCCCCATCTGGCTGTCTCCCAAGCTTAGGGAGAGGGGCCGGGGCTGAGGCCCAACTCCTGGCAGTCCTTGGCTGCGACGGCAACAGTGAGCAGGACATTGAGAGAAACAGGGTTTGGGGCCCACAGAACCCCCACCTTGCCAGGGCCTTGGACTCTCTGAGCCCCAGTGCCTGCACCTGCATCGTGGCGAGCCCACCCTGTCACAGCAGCAGGGAGCTGAAACGTACCCCACAAAGCAGGCCCTTAGGCTTACCTCTAGGGTGCAGTAGGGGCCCCTTTCGCAGATCCAGTCATGAGGCCCTAAAGGATCAGCAGGCCAGATCCTGGGGGCCTGAGGTCCCCATCAGGAAGCTCGCAGGCAGTGTGGTCCCTGGGCTGGGGAGGAGCTTGGGCTTGGTTGGGGCAGGGGAGTGGGGGCAGGGAAGAGAGACTGAGGCCTGGAGGGGTGGCCGTGGCTTCAGGGATGGGAAAGAGGGGGGAGCAAAAGGCAGGAGGGGGCGAGAGTGTGGGGGCTGGAACCCCGGGGGAAC